GCAGAAGCCAGGCGCGTCGGAAGCGCAGCCAGCCAGCCGCGGACTCCGCGCGGGGAAGCTTCGAGCCCGGCGCCCGGAGGCGGTGAGTTCCCGAGCTTCGGACGCGCGGACCCCACAGGGCTGGGAGCCAGGCTCCCCTAGGGGGCTGGGGCGGCGAGCTTTGGATCCCCCGTGCCCAGGCAGAGCGTTCCAGGGAGTTTTCCCGCCCAGGACGCCCCTTCCAGGCGGGAGGCGGCGGTCGCGAGGTGGAGCTGGGGCTGTGGCGCCCCCGTCAGGCACGGGTCCCCGCCATCGCTGCCTGCGACCCGGCCACGCCTTCCCGGGTATTGCGGGCTGGGAGCGCCCCTCCGGGAGGACATGTTCACCGGGGAGCGCTCCGGGCCGCGCCCGCACCCACGGCCACGAATTTTAATCCTCCTCAGTCATTTCAAGCGCGCCTCCCCGTGGCCTTGGCCGAAGTGCGCTCTTTTAACTTACCTAGATGTCCCGGGGCCCTAGGAGCTCGCCACCATTTAGGATGCTTTGGGGAGTCGTCCCCAGCTCCAGGTTCAGGGACGTGCCCGCCCCTTACTTCCGTGCAGGCCAGGGGAGGCACACCCGAACGGTCTGTGCTGGGAGGTTGGGGGGAGTCAGCCCTGCGGGTCCCCAGCCCAGACCGGCCCCGGTGCTGGCTGCCCTCCAGCGGCGGGTAGGTGGGTGCGTGGGCTGGGGACAGAGAAGCTCCGTAGGGATGAGACCTCAGGAGCAATAGCCTTTCATGAGCGCTTCTTCTCTGTCGGCACGCTGCTGTTCGCTTGCCCTTTTTTTTTGTTTTTTGGTGTCATTGATATACAATCTTATGAGCAACATTACGGTTACTAGATTCCCCCCCTTATCAAGTCTCCCCACCACATACCCCATTACAGTCATTGTCCATCAGTGTAGTAAGATGCTGTAGAGTCACTACTGCTCTTCTCTGTGCTATGCTGCCTTCCCTGAGACCCCCACCGCCTACATATGTGTGCTAATCATAATTCCCTCTTTTCCCCTTATCTCTTCCTTCCCACCCACCCTCCCCAGTCCTTTTCCCTTTGGTAACTGTTACTCCATTCTTGGGTTCTGTGAGTCTGCTGCTGTTTTGTTCCTCCAGTTTTTTCTTTGTTGTTATAATCCACATATGAGTGAAATCATTTGATACTCGTCTTTCTCCACCTGGATTATTTCAATGAGCATAATACTCTCTAGCTGCATCCATGTTGTAAATGGTAGGATTTGTTTCCTTCTTATGGCTGAATGATATTACATTGTGTATATGTATCACTTCTTCTTTATCCATTCATCCTCTGATGGACACTTAGGTTGCTTCCGTTTCTTGACTATTGTGAATAGTGCTGCCATAACATAGGAGTGTATATGTTTTTTACAAACAGGGCTGCTGCATACTTAGGGTAAATTCCTAGGAGTGGAATTCCTGGGTCAAATGTTATTTCTAATTTTAGTATCTTGAGGAACCTCTATACTGCATTCTACAATGGTTGAACTAGTTGACATTCCCACCAGCAGTGTAGGAGGGTTCCCCTTTCTCCACATCCTCACCAACATTTGTTGTTGTTTGTCTTTTGGATGTTGGCCATCCTTACTGGTGTGAGGTGATATCTCATTGTGGTTTTAATTTGCATTTCTCTGATGATTAGAGATATGGAGAATCTTTTCATATGCCTGTTGGCCATCTGAATTTCTTCTTTGGAGAAGTGTCTGTTCAGCTCCTCTGCCCATTTTTTAATTAGCTTATTTGCTGTTTGTTTATTGAGATGCATGAGCTCTTTATATAATTTGGATGTCAACACCTTATCAGATCTGTCATTTATGAATATATTCTCCCATACTGTAGGATGTCTTTTTCTTCTACTGATGGTATCCTTTGCTGTACAGAAGCTTTTCAGTTTGATATAGTCCCACTTGTGCATTTTTGCTTTTGTTTCCCTTGCCCGGGGAGATATGTTCATGAAGAAATTGCTCATGTTTATGTCCAAGAGATTTTTGCCTATATTTTTTGTAAGAGTTTTATGGTTTCATGACTTACATTCAGGTCTTTGATCCATTTTGAGTTTACTTTTGCATATGGGGTTAGACAATAGTCCAGTTTCATTCTCTTGTATGCAGCTGTCCAGTTGTGCCAACACCAGTTGTTGAAGAGGCTGTCATTTCCCCATTGTATATCCATGTCTCCTTTATCATGTATTAATTGACCATATATGGTTCAGTTTATATCTGGGCTCTCTAGTCTGTTCCATTGGTCTATGGTTCTGTTCTTGTGCCAGTTCTAAATTATCTTGATTACTTCGGCTTTGTAGTAGAGCTTGAACTTGGGGAACATAATCTTCCCTGCTTCATTCTTCCTTCTCAGGATTGCTTTGGCTATGTGTGGTCTTTTGTGGTTCCATATAAATTTTAGAACTATTTGCTCTAGTTCATTGAAGAATGCTGAGGTATTTTGATAGGGATTGCCTTGAATCTGTTTATTAGTTTAGTCTGTGTGGACATTTGGACAATATTAATTCTTCCTATCCATGTCTTGGTTAGGTTTATTACTAGGTATTTTATTCTTTTTGATGCAATTGTGCATGGGATTATTTTCCTGATTTCTCTTTCTACTAGTTCATTGTTAGTTTATAGGAATGCAACAGATTTCTGTGTATTAATTTTGTATCCTGCAACTTTGCTGAATTTAGATATTAGATCTAGTAGTTTTGGAGTGGTTCCTTAGGGTTTTTTTAAGTACAATATCATGTCATCTGCCACAGGGACTGTTTAACTTCTTCCTTGCCAATCTGGATGCCTTTTATTTCTTTGTGTTGTCTGATTGTCGTGACTAGGACCTCCAGAACTATGTTGAATAAAAGTGGGCAGAGTGGACAACCTTGTCTTGTTCCCGATCTTAAAGGAAAAGGTTTCAGCTTCTCCCTGTTAAGTGTAACATTGACTATGGGTTTGTCATATCTACCCTTTATTATGCTGAGGTGCTTGCCCACTATACCCATTTTGTTGGGGATTTTTTTCATGAATGGGTGTTGTATTTTCTCCAACGCTTTTTCACCATCCATGTAGATGATCATGTGGTTTTTGTCCTTCTTTTTGTTGACGTGCATTTGTTGATGTGGTGGTTGCTCAATTTTCGAATGTTGTACAATCCTTGCATCCCTGGAATAAATAATACTTGATCATGAATGATGATCTTTTTGATGTATTACTGAATTTGGTTTGCTAATATTTTGTTGGGTGTTTTTGCATCTGTGTTCATCAGGGATATTGGTCTGTAATTTTCTTTTTTTGCAGTATCTTTGCCTAGTTTTGTTATTAGAGTGATGCTGGCCTCGTACAATGAGTTTGGGAGTATTCCCTCCTCTTCTACCTTTTGGAAAACTTTAAGGAGGATGGTTATTAGGTCTTCTGCTGTTCGCTTTCATGAGCCTGGATCCACAGCAGGAAATTGTATCTAATAGATGCTATGGCTGTTCTCATGCTCCAGGAGTACTGGGTGTCAGCGTCGCACAGCTGGCAGGTCATCACACCTACATAGGCCTGGTGCGAAATTCCAGACTACCCTCCAGATGAAGGGTGGCATGGGGATGTGTCCCAGTGGGATGACTGGGTGTGAAGAGTCCTGAGAAGTTTTTTCCTTGTCTCACTCCAGGCAAGAGAAGAGGTGCAGGAGGCATCTGGCAAATGCAGAGAGAGAGGACCCTGAGCACAAAGGCAGGTATGGTCTCCAGACCTATGGAGACTGGTAGGTGACCAGTTCTGTGACCTCAGAGGTTGCGGTACGAACATTAGGATGTTCTCAGAAATGAGCATCAAAGGAGTCTATTGAGTCTAAACTCATCACCATTTATTTCCCTTTGGCATTTACTGTGTGACCTGGGACAAGTCATTCAGTCGTCCTAAGCCTCAAACCTCGGTGTCCTCGTGTGTACTCAGGGCTTGATACTAGTACCACCGCCTGACTTTGGGTGAGGCCTAAATGGACCAAGAGACATAGGAGCCTTAGGACAGCACCTGGCACACAGCGTGGTGAACGTGGTGAATGTCCTTCGCCTCTAAACGCAGACAGGATTCCTTGTAGCTGTCCTGCAGCAGTGCATTTTCTCACTTGGCATGCTATTGGAGGGTGAAGGTCACAGGGATGTTGGCTCAACTGCACACCTCAAATGGAGAAGAATGAGGGACTGACGATTTGCTGCCTTTGCAAGGTGTGGCTCTGGATAAGATGCCCATGGTTGCAGGTGACTTAGGGTCACTCAAAGCTGGATGGACTTGCAGGGCTATTCGTGGGATTGTGAGTGTTGCTCCTCCGTTCTCTTGTGGCCCACCTATATTCAGAAAGACAGGAAAATAGAAATTAGACTGGGAATGGGCTTAAAGGCAACAGATCTATGGAGGTTCATTTAGGGGAAGGGGTTCTTAGCCTTCAGTCTGTGGAATTCTAGGGCAGTGGTGTCCAGCAGAACTCTCTGCACTGATGGGTGCCAATAGCACTTGAAGTGTGGTAGGAGCTGAATTTTTAATTAATTTATACTTAAACTGCCCCATGGATCTAATGACTGCTGTGTTGGACTGCATGCTTCTAGAGGGTCCGTGGGTGGAGTTGGACATGTTATTAATTTCTGAAAGTGGATTCAGAATTGGATGTGTGCATGTGTGAATTTTGTAGGAACTGAGTCCAATGTGTGTGTGTGTGTGTGTGTGTGCATGTGCGTGCATTTTTCAAGGAACTGAATCCATGGCTTTCATCAGATTCTCATAGCCAAGCAAAAAGATGACCATCTGCTACCTTAGGGCTTTGGTGAGATGTACGCAGTTAAGGGAGCTTATTAAGCCCTCGGATAACCACTGTGGTTTCTCCTTTCTCACTTTGTCCCATCCTCAGCTGTAGGTGCCTCCTTCCCCTGACGGCTACACAGAGAAACAAATTGGAATTGAGACTTCAGGCCCCAGATAAATTGTCCACTGTTGGAAGAGACATGGCTGTGCCCCTGGATAGTGCGATGCAGAACTTGAATCAGGGCTCCGTGTTTCACGAGTATGACACTGACCGTGAAGTCTCCCGCCAGCGCTTCAGACAGTTCCAGTATAAAGAAGCAGCTGGGCCACGTGATGCTTTCAAGAAACTCTGGGAACTTTGCCGACAGTGGCTGAAGCCAAATTTAGGTTGTCTGGAACAAATCTTGGAAGTGCTAGTGTTGGAGCAACTCATGCAGATTCTGCCCATAGAGATACAGAACTCCATGAGGCCGTTTAGCATGAAAAATAGGGAAGCCGTTTTGGCACTGATGGAATTCTTACAGACACAAACTGACGTATCAGAGCAGCAGGTAAGAAAAGAGTTTGGTATCTTGGTAATTAGACCCAAAGAAGTAGCAGAGGCAGCTGGGACTGGATTAGACATTTATTTCTGTGTCTTTTCTCAATCCCAAGATTTCACTACAGGCATTTTCATTTTCCTTTTCTGCTGGAATCAGCGTGTGGGTCAGTGGTTCTCATCCCAACGTACCCATTCCCCCACCTATAACAAATATTTCATAATGTCCTCTTAAATATTCTTAAATTCATAGATAGCATGACCTGCCTGCCTTCATCCATCAAAAATACCAATATTGTGCTAGAGTCTGAGGCCTCGTCCTGCCGTTGCCTCTTTTGTATGCCCTTTTAGCTAACGGCGTTTTTTCCCCTTTTTACAAGTTAAAGGGTTATTTTAAAAAAGAGGATATAATGAGAGGCAGGTTGAAAATGACCCAAAATACCTTAAATGTTTCCTGTCTGGCTCTGTACAAAAAGTTTGCCAGCCTGAGTCAGGTGGAGTCAGGAAGGAATACAGAGGAACAAGAAGGTAGTTCATTATAAACTATCAGCATGGCCACCTGCCCGCGTTTGGGCTTGAGTGCATCAAAAGCCCTCATGAAGCTGTCAGACGCTTGCATCCGTGCATGGATTCCCTGGGAGGGCGACAGCGCCATGTTCAGACTGATACCGCCCAAACACTGAGCAGGGTTGCTGCTGCTCGTGGGGTTTCCAAAGTGGCAAACAAGTCCTGGTAAATCCAGTCAGCCATATAGAATTCCTTTGATTTTCACAGGACTGCAATTCCTACAATTTCAAGTTAGCTAAAACTATTCAAAACCAACCAATTGTACTTATATGCCCAACAGGATGAAGTTCTTGACAGGCTCTTTTCACCTACATGAATGCTTGAAGGGACATTCCTCAGTTGTTTGGGAGGTGGTGTAATTGTGCACTATGAGTTCTTTGTAACCCATCTCTGGCCCGTGCAGTTCCAGTAGCCACCAGCAGCCATCATATCCATGGGGATGCCCCATGGGGATGGTGGGCTGCCCCCTGTCAAAATGACCAGGTAAAACCTGTCGGGTTGTGCCATAGCTGAGCACAGGGCAGAATCTGGGAGAAAGGAGAAAGTGCTTCTAGCTGGGCAGCTGAGGCACTCCAGTCTTGTGTGTCGCCGGGCTCGGCAGAAGCCTGCCTGCACAGGAGCCTTCCTAATTTCCTGCCCTCCTAGGATGGATTGAGTGTATCGTCTTTTCTCTCTGCGTCCTTGGTTCGCTCACCATGCAAGAGTCTCTCTCCTGTGGTCTTGTCGTGCACTGCCAGTGCAGTGGCCCCCAGCCACGTGTGCCTCTAGAGCACCTGGAGCGGGCTAGTCCAAACTGAGATGCGCTGTAAGTGTAAAATGCACAGCACATCGAGAGGACTCACTATGAAAAATAGTAGGTGAACTGTCTTGTTAATACTTGCTTATAGCGATTACATGTTGAAATCCTGATAGTTGTGGTAAGTTGGGTTAAAGAAGACATACGATTAAGGATGACCCATCCTCTTTCTTTTCACTCATTTTTCACATGCCGCTAGAGAATGTAAAATGACATGGGTGGCTCGCATTATGTTGCTGCTGGGCAGAGCTGGTCTAGACCTTAGAGTGACGGGTTGTGGTGTTTTCCCCAGGTGGATAGGCAGGAAGTGCTCTTGGAAGAACTGGCACCGGTGGGAACGGCGCACATACCACCAAACATCCACCTGGAGTCACCCCCAGTCCAAGTGATGGGACCTGCTCCAGAGGCGCCAGTGGCAGAGGCGTGCATCACACAGGGAGGGCCGCAGGAGCTGAGCTATGATGCTGCTGGGGAATGCCAGCCCTTTCTGGACCCAGGTAAGGCAATGGCTTTATTTCCTTTCCTTGGTTTGTGTTTGAGAGCTACAGAGCTGTGCAAGGTTGGGCTGGTTAACGAACACCACTTATGTGATGGAAATGCACCCACCTTGTTAAAAAGAAGGAGGGGATGTCTGTCCTGGAATAGCTGGGCACAATGCATAAAGAAGGTTAGATAAAATGCAATTTAAAACCCCTTAAACTAATCATCCTCTGCAGGAGGCTCTTGACCAAGAATTTTACCCAGGAAGACTGGGATTTGGGATTTGCTGTATAAGGACCGAATCCCTGCAAATGTCATCACTAGGACCTGTAATGTGGCCCCAAGGGCCTCCCTGCTTTTATGGCAAAAGAGCCTTTTTCTTACTTGATACTTTCTTAATATACCCAAGGGCTTCAGGTCCTATATGAGGATTTAATCCTCCACCACAGTATAAACCAAATACCTATGTCATTTGAACAAAACCTACATGTTTCTTCTGGTGTAGAAAGCAGACTATCCCTTGCAGGCTCACCCGCTGTGCATTTTTGTTAATTCAGGTATCATTTTCTAATCAGGTTATTTTTTGTGTGTTGAGGCATGTGAGCTCTTTATATATTTTGAATGTTCACACCTTATGCAACAAGTCATTTACGATCATATTTTCCCATATTGTAGGACGCCTTTTTGTTCTGCTTATGGTGTCCTCTGCTGTGCAGAACCTTTTTAGATTGATGTAGACCCACTTGTTCATTTTGCTTTTGTTTCCCTTGCCCTAGGAGATGTGTTCAGGAAAAACTTACTCATGTTTATATTCAAGAGATTTTTGCCTATGTTTTTTTCTATGAGTTTTACTATTTCATGACTTGTATTCAGGTCTTTGATCCATTCTGAGTATGTTTCTGTGTATGAGGTTAGAGTATAATCCAGTTTCATTCTCTTGCCTGTAGCTGTCCAGTTTTTCCAACACCAGTTGTTGAAAGAGGCTGTCATTTCTCCGTTGTATATCCATGGCTCCTTTATCATATATTGGCCATATATGTGTGGGTTTATGTCTGGGCCCTCCATTCTGTTCCATTGATTGATAGGTCTTCTCTTGTGCCAGTACCAAATTGTTTTGATTGCTGTGGCTTTGTAGTAGAGCTTGAAGTTGGGGAGCATAATCCCCCAGATTTGTTCCTCCTTGTCAGGATTTCTTTGGCTATTTGGCATCTTCTGTGGTTCCGTATAAAGCTATTTGTTCTAGTCATTGAAGAATGCCATTGGTATTTTGATAGGGAGTGCACTGAATCTGTAGATTGCTAAAGTCTGGATGGTCATTTTAACAATATGAATTCTTCCTATCCATGAGCACAGGATATAGTTCCATTTATTGTGTCTTCTTTGATTTCTCTGATGAATGTCTTGAGACACCTTCTTGGTTAATTTTAATCCTAGGTATTTTATTCTTTTTGATGTACTTGTAAATGAAATTGTTTTCCTGATTTCTCTTTCTGATAATTTGTTGTTAGTATAGAGGAATGCAACAGATTTTTGTGTATTAATTTTGTATCCTGCAACTCTGCTGGATTCAGTTACTCTGATCGTTTTTTGGTGGAGTCTGTAGGGTTTTCCTTGTATGAAATCATGTTGCTTGCAAACAGTAAACGTTTTAACTTCTTCTTTACCATTTGGGTTTTATTTCTCTTATTTCCTTGTATTGTCTGATTGCTGTGGCTAGGACCTCCACTACTGTGTTGAATAAAAGTGGTGAGCATGGGCATCCTTGTTGTACCCAATCTTAGAGGAAAAGCTTTCAGCTTTTTGCTATGAAGTATTAATGTCGGCTGTGGGTATGTCTATGGCTTTTATTATGTTGAGATCCTTGCCCTCTATGCCCATTTTGTTGAGAGTTTTTATCATGAATGCATGTTGAATTTTGTCAAATGCCTTTTCAGTGTCTATTGAGGTGATCATGTGATTTGTCCTTCTTTTTGTAGATGTGGTGTATGATAGTGATTGATTTTTGAGTATTGTCCCATCCTTGCATCCCTACAATAAAGCCCACTTGGTCATGATGGATGATTTTTTTTGATGTATGTTTTGAATTTGGTTTGCTCTTATTTTGCTGAGGGTTTTTGCATCTGTGTTCATCAGGGACATTGGTCTGTAATTTTCTTTTCTTGAGGTGTCTTTGCCTGGTTTGGGTATTGGAGTGGTGCTGGCCTCATAGAATGAGTTTAGAAGTACTCGCTCCTCTTCTGCTTTTTTGAAAACTTTAAGGAGATGGGTATTAGTTCCTCTTTAAATGTTTGATGAAATTCCTCCTTGAAGCCATCTGGACCAGGAGTTTTTGTTCTTACTTTGTTTTTTGACTAACAGTTCGATTTCTGTGCTGGTAATTGGTCTGTTCAGATTTTCTGTTTCTTCCTGGGTCAGTCTTGAAAGGTTGAATTTTTCTAGAAAGTTGTCCATTTCTTGTAGTCTGTCCAATTTGTTGGCATATAATTTTTCATAGTATTCTCTAAAATTCTTTGTATTTCCATCGCGTCCATTGTGACTTTTCCTTTTTCATTTCTGATTCTGTTTGTGTGTGTATGCTTTCTTTTTTTCTTGAAAGGTCTGGCTCAGGGTTTATCTGTTTTGTTTATTTTCTCAAAGAATCAGCTCCTGGTTTCATCAATTTTTTCTACTCTCTTACTCTTCTCAATTATTTTTATTGCTGCTCTGATCTTTATTATGTCCCTCCTTCTACTGACTTTGAGCCTTATTTGTTCTTCATTTTCTAGTTTCATTAATTGTGAGTTTAGACTATTCATTTGTTTTGCCTATGTTTTCTTCTATGAGTTTTATGATTTCATGACTTGCATGCAGGTCTTTGATCCATTCTGAGTAAGTTTTTGTGTATGAGGTTAGACAATAATCCAGTTTCATTCTCTTGCCTGTAGCTGTGTAGTTTTGCCAACACCAGTTGTTGAAAGAGGCTGTCATTTCTGCATTGTATATCTATGGCTCCTTTATCATATATTGGCCGTATATGTGTGGGTTTATATCTGGCCTCTCTATTCTGTTCCATTGATCAATAGGTCTTCTCTTGTGCCAGAACCAAATTGTTTTGATTTCTCTGGCTTTGTAGTAGAGCTTGAATTTGGGGAGCATAATCCCCCAGATTTGTTCTTCCTTCTCAGGATTTCTTTGGCTATTCGGCATCTTTTGTGGTTCCATATCAATTTTATAGCAATTTGTTCTAGTTCATTGAAGAATGCGGTTGGTATTTTGATAGGGTGTGCACTGAATCTTTAGATTGCTAAAGTCTGGATGGCCATTTTAACAATATGAATTCTTCCTATCCATGAACATAGGATATAGTTCCATTTATTGTGTCTTCTTTGATTTCTCTGATGAATGTCTTGAGGCACCTCCTTGGTTAAGTTTATTCCTAGGTATTTTATTCTTTTTGATGTGCTTGTAAATGAAGTTGTTTTCCTGATTTCTCTTTCTGATAATTTGTTGTTAGTGTAGAGAAATGCAACAGATTTCTGTGTATTAATTATGTATACTGCAACTCTGCTGGATTCAGTTATTCAGATCATTTCTTGGTGGATTCTATAGGGTTTTCTTTGTATGACATCACATCGCTTGCAAACAGTAACAGTTTTAACTTCTTCCTTACCAATTTGGATTTTATTTCTTTTATTTCCTTGTATTGTCTGATTGCTGTGGCTAGGTCCTCCACTACTATGTTGAGTAAAAGTGGTGAGAATGGGCATCCTTGTTGTACCCAATCTTAGAGGAAAAGCTTTCAGCTTTTTGCTATGAACTATTAATGTTGGCTGTGGGTATGTGTATGTCTTTTATTATGTTGAGATCCTTGCCCTCTATGCCCATTTTGTTGAGAGTTTTTATCATGAATGCATGTTGAATTTTGTCAAATGCTTTTTCAGTGTCTATTGAGGTGATCATGTGATTTGTCCTTCTTTTTGTAGATGTGGTGTGTGACAGTGATTGGTTTTTGAATATTGTTCCATCCTTGCATCCCTACAATAAAGCCCACTTGGTCATGATGGATGATTTTTTTTGATGTATGTTTTGAATTTGGTTTGCTCTTATTTTGCTGAGGGTTTTTGCATCTGTGTTCATCAGGGACATTGGTCTGTAATTTTCTTTTCTTGAGGTGTCTTTGCCTGGTTTGGGTATTGGAGTGGTGCTGGCCTCATAGAATGAATTTAGAAGTACTCGCTCCTCTTCTGCTTTTTTGAAAACTTTAAGGAGATGGGTATTAGTTCCTCTTTAAATGTTTGATGAAATTCCTCCTTGAAGCCATCTGGACCAGGAGTTTTTGTTCTTACTTTGTTTTTTGACTAACAGTTCGATTTCTGTGCTGGTAATTGGTCTGTTCAGATTTTCTGTTTCTTCCTGGGTCAGTCTTGAAAGGTTGAATTTTTCTAGAAAGTTGTCCATTTCTTGTAGTCTGTCCAATTTGTTGGCATATAATTTTTCATAGTATTCTCTAAAATTCTTTGTATTTCCATCGCGTCCATTGTGACTTTTCCTTTTTCATTTCTGATTCTGTTTGTGTGTGTATGCTTTCTTTTTTTCTTGAAAGGTCTGGCTCAGGGTTTATCTGTTTTGTTTATTTTCTCAAAGAATCAGCTCCTGGTTTCATCAATTTTTTCTACTCTCTTACTCTTCTCAATTATTTTTATTGCTGCTCTGATCTTTATTATGTCCCTCCTTCTACTGACTTTGAGCCTTATTTGTTCTTCATTTTCTAGTTTCATTAATTGTGAGTTTAGACTATTCATTTGAGATTGTTCTTGTATCCTGAGGTAAGGCTGTATTGGTATATACTTTCCTCTAGGAACTGCCTTTGCTGCATCCCACAAGCTTTTGGCTGTAGAGTATTGTTGTTTTCATTTGTCTCCATATACTGGTTGATCTCTGATTTAATTTGGTCATTGAGCCATTGATTATTTAGAAGCATGTGGTGAAGCCTGCGTGTGTTTTTGGGCTTTTTAGTTTCCTTTGCATAATTTATTTC